AAACAAAACTGAATACGCGACCAACTCGTCGAGTTCAGTAATGAACTCGACGAGTTCAACGCAAAAACTGAAAACTGAAAACGAAAATTTAAAACAGAAAAACTAGTAACTTTGTATGAAATAAATTCCACACAAATGATCGCTAACACTAGCAAATAAAATAACTATTAGAGCCGTACCCTGGCAACGGCGCCAAAAATTTGATACTTGTGAAATATACTAGTTTTAATCCTACTAACTTAGACACAAAATAAACACACGAAAGGCAGTGTACCTATCGATTAACAATATAGTTCAAGCAAGTCGGGTATCAAACACAGGGAACGGTAACAATTAAAATAAATACTAGAATTATCTATATAAAAACAAGTAATAAAGGGGGTTTTCTCTAGTTTTGCAAGACTAGAAACTTAAAGCATTCAAATAACACTCAAACAAAATCCAATTAGTCAACTAAAGAGAACAAGAAGAGACAACTAGATTCAATGATAAAAGAGACTTCTGTTCAGATTCGATTCACTTATTCCTATGTTTGATTTCGTGGCAAGTGCAATGGAGTAATATATCAATGATTACCGATTTTTAATGTGATTAGATTCATGTTCACTATTACTAATCCTTTAGCAAATAATTCAATTCAAACAGTGGCCAATTGATTAAACTAACAAGTTTCCTAGTGTTCAATTCGAATCAAGTAAGACTTGTAATATTAGTTAACTAAATTTTGTGAATTCAATCAACTCATATTTGGTTGTTCATCACACATGCTCACACATTAACTTATTTATTTTCTAGTTAACCCTAGGTTCATGTTCACTAATACTAGGCATACAATCTTGTTTTCAAAAAGATATATGATTCAAGCAATTAAGAAGATATTCATGCAACTCAATAAACTTGATTATTAACAGATGATAATTATCGTTAATATGCAAGGATCTTTTAACAAGCTTAACAAGATTAAAAATAAAATCAAATTAATCCAAACCACTCAATCAAACCATATTCATAAGATCATTTAGTCTAAACTAAAGTATGAAGCCTTTTAGCTCATAAGTACAGCAAATATCATCATAAAATCAAAATCTAATGATTCAAGCATGGTTCACACAAAAGATTATGATAAAAGTACTGGTTGTTTGCCTTTAATCTCTTCAAAATTGATTTCTAGGTTGAACTATCGAAAACCAAAGCACCCAAGAACCCTTCTGATCTTCAATAGTCGCCAAAAGCCTCCAGAATGTGTTAGGGTTTCGGGAATAAACGGTTTATATAGAGGTTTCCAAAATTCAGCACCAACTCGTCGAGTTTTTAAGATTAACCCTGACGAGTTTTTCATTTAATACGCGTGCATGGCGTCTACGGCAAGGCATCCGTATATCGGGAATCTTCTGATCAACTCGTCGAGTTGATGGCCAACTCGTCGAGCTCTTCCTTATTTGAACCTTCTTTCTTCAAAATTCAATTTCCAAGCTTCCAATTGCTAGTTCTGCTTCCTTTTTCGCCCAAGCATGTATTTATTGCTGAAATTGAAATATTAAGCTAATTAAGCACCTTTTGTCCATAATATGGATAAAATCAACATAAAATATTAAGATAATGCATGATTTTTAAGACTAATTAAGCACATATCATTGTCTTTGTGACTCTTCATGGGTTGTGCTTCTATGTGTGTCTGGGTCAAGACTCGATGTCGGGCGGGGCCCGATAGATATATGTGTGCTATATATCTCTATGATTATTGCATGTGTATGTGTTTATTTAGATATATGTTATTGTATGTTGGGCAGGGCCCGTTTTACCGAGCTCAGCTCGATGTCGGGCTGGGCACGATGATGGGCGAGCCAACTATATGTTTATTATATGTTCATTGTATGATTCGTATGTGGTATTTTGGGAAACTCGCTATGCTTTGTGTTTATGATTTTCAGTTTATGTTTCAGGTACTCCAATTTTCAAATGAAGGAGCTCGAGACGATCGCAGCGCATACACCCATGTTTTTCACAATATGTGATCTTTGGGAATGAACTCTGATAATAGTTTTTATTTAAATGCTTTTTAATGTTGGTACAAAGTTATAATGGTGTTTTGAATATGATGAAAATGAAATTTTTAACCTTGAAATTTTGGGATGTTACAAATTGGTATCAGATCCTTGGTTTGAGGGATTCTGGCATGCTCTTGGGTGTGCCTGAACTCAAACTGAGGGCTTGGTGAAAATTTTATAAAATAAACATTTAATTAAAAAGGAATTTCTAATCAAAGAAAGGGGTGTGATGCGTGCAATCGGTCGAGCTCAAGTAAGTCGTTCCCAAAATACCAATCCATGTTTATTATGTGATATGATTATGTGAATCGCATGCTATATTAGGGCAAAGGATATGCTCGATATTATATGATAGGAGAGATGCCTTTATATGCCTGATTGTATGAGCTCTTAGAATTGCATGATAGTATGGTTTTCGGATCAGTGGATAGAATGGCTTGATTAGTGTATGCTGGTTAGATTTTCTCGTTGCCTGAATGTTGCTTGCTTTGTGCTTTGTGTGATTCTTAGTGATGT